TTTTATTTCTTCACTGGATGAAAAAATTTGGGCTTTGTGGAAGCCCAAAGCCAAGATCTGGGCTTTTGCAAGTGATAGCAAAACCTTTAGATATTCATGGTATGATTCTTTATCCACTGAAGTTAATGAGACCTTAAAATCTGCTCCAGAGAGAGCTGTGGGAGACCCCCAGCGAGTGACAGCTCTGTGAAGCTGGGGGTAACTCAGCAGCTGAATTTAAACCCTTGGATTGTGTCAAATGTGAGGCTGAAAGCCCAACAGCACCTGCCTCAGATCACCCACTAATGATCCCACAGATGCCCTTCATTTCTGGGCTGTTCTCTGCTGGAAAAGCTTTTGGTCCTTTAGGTCTCTGATGCAAAATTCCCCAATTTCCATCCTGCCTGCAGTGTTTCTGTGCCTTGTTCCCTGTGCCTGCTGCTCACAAATCCACAGGCACATTTCAATTCCCCTTTCACCCCTTGTGTTTGACCCCACATTCTTTTGTCACTCTGAAGGATCTGATACTTGCAGAATTCCTGCTCTTGGCCCCTGGTTTAGCTGGGGCTGTAAAACTAAGGATGGATCTGTTGGAGACTCCTCCCGTGTCTGGCTACAAGGGCCTGGCCATCAGAGCTCCTGGTACTTCAAGAATTAATAAATTAGTAATTAAAATACTTTAAAAATTAAAGGCTGAGAGGAGGCAAGGAAGTAAGAGGTGAGGGAAATTATCCTTCTCTCCTCAGACCACCATCCAAATTTAAGTGACATGGCAAAGACCTTGGTTTTCATTCGGCTTACAGTACTGACTCTCCAGACCCTCCCTGCTTGTGAAAAGGCTGCTGCACAGCCTTGAAGCAATTTTTGTCCTACTAAAGATGCTTTCCTGCACCTAGAAACTGGATTTGGTGTGTGTGAGGAGCAGGGGAGTGGAGGGATGGAGGATGGGGCAGGTTCTCCATTCAGGTTTTGCTGAGGAGTGGTTACAATAAAAACCTCTGCAGGTGTGACCTCCAGGGCTTTCTCTGAACTCAGGCAGATTTTAAAATCCTTGGGCTTCTCTAGTAATTGGCAGGAGATTTTTTTTTTTTTTGTCCCATACAAATTCCATCCTATTCAGGGATCTGAGTGGGAATTGCTTCATACCCAGCAAGCTCCAAGGCTGTATTCCATCATTCCCACCTAGAAATGGAAGTGCCCTCAGGGCTCACGTGGCCAGAACCCAGCTGCAGTTACCAACAGTGTTTATAATGTGCCTCCAAAAAATGTAAGACTTGAAATTGCAGAGACTTTTGCCCCTGCTGTTCTCAATAGATGCTGTTCAAGCCCCCACTGTCTCTGATGGCCAAAAACATCCTAATTTCCAGCCTACACATATTCACTGCTGGCCTGCACACATTTATTCCTAACATCATGTTTGGGCATAAATACATTTTCCCTTTTGTTGGTATTTTCCCTGTGGTGTTTATGTAGAATAATCAAATTCTCCCTTTGGCTTTCTTTTTTGCCAGGCTAAACAAGCCAAGGTATTTCGTTTTCCCTTACAAGACAGCTCCTCCTGCCTTATTTTACCCTTCAGAATCTCTTACTTGAACTGAAATTACCCACAATTTACAAGTAGTTCAGATGAAATCTTGCCAGGCCCAATGTAAAGTGTGATAGCTCATCTCAGAGAGAATTACCTGATACTTTCTGGGCTTGCATTTAGCTTTTTCATGGCCATGTCACATTTGTGACTCTCTTGGGATGGACTAATAAACCTGAACCCTTGAGCTCTGTCCTTTGCAGCAGCTGCCAGCCCACAGCAGAAATTCTCAGTATTAGCCCCATCCTTGGCCTTCATTTTGCGCCATTGAATTTCATCTTGGTTTTCTCATCCAATTCTTGTCTTTGAGTTTTTCCTCTCTCACAGCCTGGTCCTGTTTTCTGTTCAAGGTGCCCTACAAACTTCAGTGGGACCTTCTGAACACTCCTCCTCATTCTGTGCTGAGGTCATTAATAAAAACTGGGAGTTTCATTAATGGCCCTTCAGGAATTGCAGCAGCAGCCCAGGAGTTCCCTGGGAATCTCTTTCCTTTAACCAGAGCTTTCTCCACCTCAGGACTGCCAGAGGAATCCACAGTCTGGGGTTTCCCATCTGCTTCTCTGGTTTAATCCCACCTTTCATGCAGAGATCCCACATTTATGCATTTGAAAATTTGAGTTTGAAAATCTGGAAACCACATTTAATGATGTAAATACCCAGCAGGGCCCCTTTCTAAATACACATGCTATAATCTAATGTACACATCAGTGATTTCAGATCCTACAGTTTCAGGGGATTTTAACTGCTGGTCACTTTGCTGAGCTCCTGCTTGTTCTCCATATCCAGCTCACCTCACTCAGCCCAAACTTTGCCTCTCCCTGCTGGGTCAGCCTTCCTGCACCCTCTCCAGTGTAAGCCAGAGGTGAAAAGGGAAAAGGGAGGAGCCTGGGGAGGTGTCCCAAAAATCTAAGAAGAAATTACTGGAACTGGGATGTTAAAATACTGTTTTACATCCAGCATCTCTGTCCCTGGGAGAATCCTCCAGAGAACCAAGACCATGTGTGCTGGAAGTCTGGTCCTTCCCTGATGTTATTCACTGATTATTCAGCCTCATTTTATTTTTACTGTGAAGTTTCAGGTCCCATCCTCAGGGGTTGTTCAGCCCCTCATTGCCAACAAGAGGATTTTTGGCTGGTGACTGGAGACAACTTAAACCTGGGGAGAGTTGTCCCCATTGAAGTCTTCAGGAGAGTTTTAAGAGTGACTTAACCCACGTTGTTCTTTATCAACATCTGTAGTTTAGCCAACAGCCAGTGTTTGTGCTCACAGGGTGTGGTGTCAAATCCTCTTTTGGGGTGGAAAATGCAACCCTTCAGGAAAGACTTCATGGTAAAAATATTTCATGGTAAAAATTCATGGTAAAAATATCTTTCCTCTGCTTTAGCGTGGGCAGACAGCTCTGATCACCGGAGGAGAACATCCCAAGCTAAAAACTGAAATACTGCACACATCCCCCCCAGATTTCTCCTAAGGCAGTCCAAGTGCTCATCCATGGGCAGGGGATTGATTAATGTGCTGTTAGATCTCAGTGTCCCTGCTTTGGTGGCTTTCCTGGTGCCAGCATGTGACACTGGGCTCGGGATAATGACTGGAAGGAAGACTCATTTATTCCTGCTTGGTGGGGGGCTTTTCAATCTCACACACAAAGGCACAACAAGAGCCAGCCACTGCAAGTTGGACAAATTCAACCTTGAAATGAGACACGGCTTCCTGGCTGCCAGGAGAATTAAAGTTTGAAACCATTTGTGAGGGGAAACAGTGGAGTTGCCATAGCTTGGAGTTCAGACAAGACTTGCTGCCTCTGTGAAAAGGATTTCTTTAATGCAGCATTCTGGAGGAGTTCTGTGATTTGTGTTTGCAGGAGGTCACTTGAAAGGAGTGGAGCAGTGCTGCCTGGCCTTGGTGGGTGAATTACTGGATGTGATTAAATGACCTTTTTGCTTTGGGTCACTGAGTTTCTGTAATAAAAGGATTGGCTGCCACATGGAGAGGGCTGTGAGCTGGGGAGGAAATCAAAATGAATGCCTGTCCTACTGTCCTTCTGACTGTAAAGAATCCAGGTGTTGCTATTTAGCCTGTTTAAAACCTGCAGAAATGTTAATAGCAAAATACTTCAGTGGCAGGAGAAGACTTTGGTTCCAAGCCACTCCCTGTTCTTTAAGGATCTTTCTCTTCACAGGATTTGTCATTTTGCTCTCCATCAGAGCCTGGTTTGTATTGATCCTCCTCAGGAAGGTGGTTGGAATGGAAAGTGCCTTCAACCACTGGGAAGGCAGCAGAACTCCCTGCTGCAAATGCTGCTGTGCTTAGAGCCCAGGAGAAATCTGAAGCAATGATTGTCATTATATTTTCATTCTCTTTGCCTTCAACAACAGACCATAAAGGCTGTATTCAAATTGCCTGCTTTAAAGATCTTGAACAGAGTCCCAGAGTAACAGTGAGCTGAATTGCCCCATCAAGTTTGGATTTCTAGGATTCACCACAGCTGAATACAGACAGAATTCAGGGATTTTTAATGTAGCCTGTGTTTTTCCAACACACCAACTGCTTTATGCCAAAGAGCTGCTCTAAAAATGTTCCTGCAGCTTTAACAGTGGAAGGTGAGATTTGCAGAACTTATTAGAAGAACTTTGCCCCCATCCAGCCAACAGAAAAACTCTCTCAGTGCTTTCATGGCAAAAGGACTGGGCATCCTGGCACCTTCAATTCCCTTGGAGGGGAAAAGGGAACCATTTCCTCCATCCATGAGCACTGTTTTCTGTAGAATTCCTTTGGAAAAGTGGCTGGAAGAGGTTCTTCCCAACTGGCCAACTTCCTCTGGTCTCAGCAGGTGCAGCACTGCCCACTCCAGGCACTGCCAGCAGTGTTAGATCCAAGCTCCAAGCCAAAACTAGATTTTATGTCTTTCAGGGAAGAATTACATAAAAAGGCAGTGAAGAGGGTTTTGTGCAGCATTGTTGGAATAATTTCAAACTAATCAACAGTGGGTTGATTGAAAACATTGGGGTTTTAAGGACAAACAGTTCTTATTCCAGATATTCTGCAGCCAGGGACTGAAAGTAAACTCACTGATTTTTCATTGTCCATCAGCATCACAAACATAATAATGCTGGATTAGACCATGAGTTTTGCTAACTAAAATTATTAATGAAGCAATTGTCTTTTCACACAAGGGTTCTTTGTGTTTATTATGATTTTTGAGACCAGCCCTGGTTCCTGCAAACCTCGTGCTGCTCTGCTCATGGTGTGAAATCCGTAATTTTGGGAGCTGGAAGGAGGCTGGGCAGGTCCGAGGAGCTCTCAGTCTATGCGTGGCTTTGTGTTTACAGTTCATTAGCCCATGTTTAAAAATACCACACTGCCAATTTATCTCACAGCTGGGTTCATGCACATTTTGAGCTGATCACTTGCTGAACAAAATCTCCTTTTGCTTCAGCTTGCAGATTCCCTCGTGCCCTTGGAGATCAAGCCTGGTATTTCCTTGGCAACAGTTTCTGCTGTGCTGCATACTAAGGACAACAAACACGTGCTGCAGGTACAGTCTGATGGGGAATGGAGAAAAATATCCTTACTCTGGCTTTTCCTGCCATCCAGGACCCCTCCTGCAGCTCCTTCCCACTGGGGCAGAGCCCTTGGCAGAGGCTTTGCCCTGGCATGTGCAGGTGAGGAATTACACCCAGAGCAGGGAGTGGGATGCAAATAAATCTCTCTGCCCTCTTTTCCTTGGCCATGTGCCTGGCTGAGATGAATGGGGAAGTGAGATAATTCCTGAAGAGAAGCTACAGATCATCCTGCTGTCTTCCACAGTCAGGAGCAGCATCAGTCAACCTCTCAGGACCAAGGGTTAGAGGAGAGAGATGACCTGGGACATCAGGCTGGGGAAGGGAGACCATCTGCCCTCAGTTTCCCTGGAGGCTGTACACCTCTACTCTCCCTTCCTGCCACCCCCTTCAGGCTGGCACTGAAATTCCTGGCATGAGTGCTCTGCAGGAGGAGGTGATGTCCAGGGACCTGCCCTGGTCCCCTTTCTCTCAGAGCCATGAGCCTGCAGGGCCTCACTGAGCAACCCTTCCCACACTGGGCAGCAGAGCTGGCTGGGCCTAGGACACTTGGGGAGACAGCCCAGTGTGCAAATGTCAGGGATGTGAAGGTTGGGGAGGGTTTCTGTCAGAGCACAGCAGACAGGCTGCCCCTCTCTTCCCAAGCTGCTTCCCTGGAAACCCTCAGCAGCTCTGGGAGCCTTGAAGTGCTGCAATGGAATTGGTCTGAGGCTGCTGTTGTTCACTTTCTCCCTTCTCCACTCATTCCTGCTGCCAAATAAACTTAGACCTGGGCTTAAAATGCCAGAGTCCTCATAAATGGCTGGAGCTACGCCATGTTCTCATTCCCTGAGTAGCTGCTCTCTCTGAATTTGCCTGTTTCCCAACCTGTTGCATCCTTTAGAGTGGGAAATCTGCCTGTTTCCCAACCTGTTGTATCCTTTTTTTTTCCTTCTCATCCATCAGCTCCCTCCAAAACCTCCCCAGCCTCCTGCCAGCAAGAAGAGGAAGCGGGTGAGTGATGATGTGCCCGAGTGCAAATCTCTGAAGCCTCTGCTGAGTGGCTCCATCCCCATGGACCAGTTTGTACAGACCCTGGAGAAGGTGAGGAGTCTTTGGTGGCAGGTGGGATTCCAGCAGATTTCTGCACATCTCAGAGGTGCTGCTCTGGTAGCAGAGAGGGGGGGAATCATTTTAGTGCAGCTTGAAATGGAGAAAGGCCAGTGAGTTGCTAAAGTGCTCCAGGGTGTCCCTGCAGTTCAGAATAGAGGGAATTGTTCCCTGTGGAGCTTTGTCCTGCTGTGCAGGGTTCATGTCAGTGATCCCCTCCTGTTTCCCATGGAAGCAGAGCTTTTGGGTGGATGATTTGCCTCACAGAACTTTTGGATTCAGCAGCTGAGGGAGTCTCAAAAGCATTTAACAATTTAAATTTCCACGAGATTAGTAAGAAGGTGACCAAGTGAAGAACAGATCCTGGAAATGTCTCCACTGGTGGAGGAGCCTCCTGAGGAAGCTGCACAAATTTGGTTGCTGCTCTGTGGAATCTCATTCTCACCTGCAGGAGATAAAAGATTGCAGACTTCCAGGGCCTAAAGGGGCTCCAGGAGAGCTGGAGAGGGATTTGGGACAAGGGATGGAGGGACAGGACACAGGGAATGGCTGCACACTGCCAGAGGGCAGGGATGGATGGGAATTTGGGAAGGAATTGTTCCCTGGGAGGGTGAGGAGGCCCTGGAATAGAATTCCCAGAGAAGCTGTGGCTGTCCCTGGATCCCTGGCAGTGTCCCAGGCCAGGGTGGATGGGGCTTGGAGCAGTTTGGGATAGTGGAAGGTGTCCCTGCCATGTCAGGAGGTGGCACTGGATGAGATTTAAGGCCCTTCCCAGCCAAACCAATCTGTGATTCCATTAAATCCCTCACCCCTGTGCCCTGGGGGAAATTCCCTCTCTCCTCTGTCCCAGTTTTCCTGAGCTGTGCTGATTTCCCTCTCTCTCCCCCTCCCACCCCAAATCCAGCACGGCTTCAGTGATGTGAAGGTGGAGGACACGGCCAAGGGCCACATTGTGCTGCTGCAGGAGGCAGAGACCCTGATCCAGCTGGAGGAGGACTCCACCCACATCATCTGTGACAATGATGAGCCCCTGAGGGTCAAACTGAGGGACCTGGTGCTCAAATTCCTGCAGAAATTTTAGCTCATGGACATCAGGAGGCTTTGCAAGGAGAGAGCCTGGAGCAGCAGAACTTGGAGTCCAAGGAGAGAGAGAGAGAGGGAGAGAGGGAGAGAGAGAGAGAGAGAGAGAGAGAGAGAATTTTGTGATTCAGAGAGACCAGAAACCACCTTCCCCTTCATGGAGGAGCAAGGGAGTATTTTTTAATAACTATTTTTTAAATCTTATTTTTAAGCTGTTTTGGAATACTTTGGAGGAGATTCCTGTTGTGTAAAATTGGGAGCTGGGAATCTTACAGGAGATAGGAGCTGCAGAGTAAATAACTGGAGTGTTTATTTCCACCAGGGTGAACTGCTGCTCCCCTGTGTCCCTCAGCAGTCTCTGCCCCAGTCCTTCACCTGACAGAACTCTGCAGGAATATTGGAGCAATGGCCTTTTTCCTCCCACTGCTTCTTCCCAATCCCCAGATCCCATTCCCTGCCTCTCCTCCCTGTGTGTTCTTCATGTGTCCTTCCCCGGCACAAGAACAGGAGAGCTGGTGAGGCAAAGATTGTACGAATAAAAATGGAAAAAAGGGGGTCTGGTGGACATGGAGAACAGTGGGAAGAGCCTGGCCATTCCCTGCACCAGCAGAGGCACTTTGGAAAAGCTTTATCCTGTAGGAATTCAAGTGTTTATTGATGCTGCAGCCTCACCTGTTACATCCAGATCTGTCCATGGAGCTCCAGGCCCTTCACTGAAGCTGGTTCCTCCTGGGTTCCTCCATCAGCAGTGGAGGAAACACCTCAGGGAGCCACTTAGGGAAGTCCATAAAGTAGGAAAATTCCTAATGCTCATAAAAAACCTTTTGAGATTTAAGTGCCTCTTGTTTCTACCTTCCAAAAACTTGTCCTTTCAGCCCCCCCCATCTCAAATCCTGGATGGAATTCTGAGTCATTTATCCAAAGCCATCTGTACTGCAGACCTGGGGAGGCTTTTCCCTCCCCAAATCACATATTTGGGGCCTCACCTCAGTCAATAGTATTGCTCTTAAAGACAACCCATTTCTCAGATTTACTGCTGTTCATTTTTTATTGGATTGTTTTGTATTTATTTGGTGTTAAAAATAAAAAGCAGAGTGAGACTGCCCAGGGGGGAGCACATCCTGTGGTTTATAAAAGCCTCTCCATGCCCATTCCACATCCTTGTCCTGACACCTTTGGGAAATAAAGCAGCTCCTCCAGTTCATCCCTTTGAGGAGATGCAGGCAGTGGAAGCAGCTCTGTGATAAAATCTCTTTGCCACTGCAGTGCCCCCATCCCATCTCATTCCCATGAAGAATTTCTGTTGGGTTGGGTGTGCAGATCCCAGCACCCACACCTTTATCCTGTGTGTGTCATGGCTGTGTGAGGAGTGGTGTCACCAACAGGAAAAACTTGGGCCAGTGGAATTAAATCCTCATCAGGGCTTGCAGCTTTGCTGCTTTAGCATCACTTAAAAACAAAGGACTGGGATAATTTCACTTTAATAAACTCCAAAGGGATTATTCCTAACCCAGAGAAGTAGTGGGATAAACTCATCTTTCTGCTGGTTACCTCAGCTCCAGCACTGATCCCACTGCTCCAGTGCCTTCCTTTTCATATTCCCAAGGCTTTCCCACCCTCCTCAGGGGGAGAAAGTCAAAATTAAAAGCTTTTACATTTTTCTTCCTGTCATTTTGAGCAGGAAAATTTCTCATTGTTCCATCAGTCCAGCAGCTGAGAGTGGATTGTTTTGTTATATTTAAGTTGTGTGTGCTGGAGAAACGAACATGCTGGGAGGGGAATTCTTTAATGAGAAACCCTACTTAAACTGGAAAAAGAAGTGCTTGTTCCTTCTGCACAGAGAGAGAAAAACAAATAGCATTTCTTTGGGCTGGGTTAGTCCTGCAGAGGGAACTGTGGCAGCCCAGGGTGCTGCCAGGGGAAGAATACCATGGATGCAATCCAGGCTTTATCCAGAATTTAATGGCCAAAGAACAGCAAAGGTTCCTGGCTTCATTCACTCTCCTTCTTCCAGAAGGGAAAATAAATCCCCTTGGCCCTTGTGCCATGGCCATCCCCATTCCCTGGATCCCACATCCCTCCCTGAGCTGCTCTCCTCATTAAACACAATTAGTGGCAAGTGATTCATTCCCAGTGACTTCCCAACCCTGTGCTCCCACAGAAATAATGGGGAGGAAAGGTTAAAATCAGATTTCTGCTCTTGGATGGCTTTTATGGAGCAGCTGTGCCTGGGTAGAGAGGAGTTCATTGTGGTTTCACTCCATTAATGTGAAGTGAAAATGAAAACAACTGGATCAGATCAGTCAATGCCAGGTCCCTGCCCAGGTTCAGTCACTGTCACTGGGATCTGTCCCCTCTGTGGCCACCTGGACAGGAGGAGCAGAGGGAAACTGGGGCCAGGTGCTGGATCTGTGCCCCACCAGCAGCTCAGCCTTCGGGAGGAGTGGGAATGAAAGCAGAGGGATTTGGGATTGGCTGCACATCATGGCCTGGGCAGGCTCATGGTGGGAAAGGTGGGATCTGACAGGCCCTGTCACCTGTCACAGGTGAGCTGTCACCTGGGGGCCATGGACTGTGACCCCATCCCTCAAGGATCCATGGACTGTGAGTTTATCCCTCAAGGATCCATGAACTATGAATTCAGTGCTTGAGGATCCATGAACTGTGACCCCATCCCTCTAGGATCCACGAACACTGACCCCATCCCTCAAGAATCCATGAACTTTGACCCCATCCCTCAAAGATCCATCAGCTGCGACCTCATCCCTTGAGGATCTGTGGACCTTGAGTTCATCCCTCAAGGATCCGTGGACTGTGATCCCATCCCTCAAAGATCCATCAACTGTGACCTTATCCCTTGAGGATCCATGGACTGTGAGTTCATCCCTCAAGAATCCATGAACTATCAACTCATTGTTTGAGGATCTATGAACTGTAACCCCATCCCTCAAGGATCCATGGACTGTGACCCCGTCCCTCAAGGATCCATGGATTGTGACCCCCATCCCTCAAGGATCCATGGACTGTGACCTTATCCCTCAAGGATCCATGGATTGTGAATTCTTCCCTCAAGGATCCATGGACTGTGACCTTATCCCTCAAGGATCCATGGATTATGAATTCTTCCCTCAAGGATCCATGGACTGTGACCCCATCCCTCAAGGATCCATGGATTGTGAATTCTTCCCTCAAGGATCCATGGACTGTGACCCCATCCCTCAAGGATCCATGGATTGTGACCCCATCCCTCTAGGATCCATCAGCTGCGATCTCATCCCTTGAGGATCTGTGGACCTTGAGTTCATCCCTCAAGGATCCATGGACTGTGAGTTCATCCCTCAAGGATCCATGGACTGTGATGCCATCCCTGAAGGATCCATTAACTGTGACCTTATCCCTCGAGGATCCATGGATTGTGAATTCTTCCCTCAAGGATCCATGGAGTGTGAGTTCATTCCTCGAGGATCCATGGACTGTGACCCCATCCCTCAAGGATCCATGGACTGTGACCTCAGAAGACCATGAAGGGGACAGGTGCTCCCTCAAGGAGCCATCACCTGGGGCCAGTCACCCAGAATGGGTGGCATCAGATCCTTTGCTGGCCTCCAGCAGGAAGGAGCTGGTGGCTTTCATGGCACTGCTCAGAACAGGGGAACGGGAGCAATTCCAGTGAAATTGGTTTTTATCAAGGAGTGCATCATCCAGAAGGGAAAATGGAGGGCACTTTGTAGTGCAGAGGAGTGGAGTGTAAAGCACTTCACCCTGCCCTCCCTCTGGGAGCAGGGAGGGAATTATTAACAGGATTTATCGCCTCTGTTTCCTCATCCCAGGGCACAAACCCTCACAGAGAAACGGAAATGGAACCGGAGCCGTGGCTCTGCTCACCAAACACAGGAGTTACAGCAGGAAAAAATATTGATCAGGAGATTTTTACCTCAGGAAAAGCCTCAGGAGAAGATGGGCTCCACCTGAGTCCGTGCCCAAGATGCTGCTGGGCTCGTTTGGGAGCCATATCCCAAACCGAAATCCCACTGCTGCTGCCAGGCCAGGGTCCTGGAGTGGGGAATTCTGTGCCCTTCCCTGCCAGGGATGGCCCTGCCTCCCTGCAATGCTCTGGGGAGAAATCACAGGCATTTGGGAGGCTGAGCATCCACCTCCTCCCTCCAGGACTGAAATCCTCTGGAGTTTCCCTGAAACCTCTCCTGGAAACAAACCCAAGCACAAAGCACGCCTTACTCCAAGGCAGAAGGGAAAAGAAAGGACACAATTCCCAGTGGGAGCAGCAGCAAGGGCAGGAAGTGAAAGGAGGTGAAAAATGACAACAGAGGTAAAAAGTGACCACAGAGGAAGCAGCTGCTCAGGAGGGAGGGCAAAAAACAAAAGGCAGCAGGAAGGAAGAGAGGAAATCCAGCCACATGCAGGAAATCCTGGGGGATTCCCAGCCCAGCATGGAGGGGATCCCATGGCTCATGGCCCAGCTGGCTCCATTCCTCCCCTGCAGGTTTGAAGCTGGGAATCTCTTTACAAACCTCATGGATCCTTTTGGTTTTTCCACTCAGCCTCCTGCACAGGAGGAACCAGGAGCATCCTGAGCCAGCAATGCCACAGGAACTGTCCCTAAAGGTTCTGGGCTCTGGATCCCCAGGCAAGGATGGGCAGGTTTGCTTTAATTGCCTACAAACACCCACCCAAGCAGCACAACTGGGATGGGATATCCCTGGAAGCCACTCAGGGTCCAACCCGAGTGCTCCTGGGGCTCCCAGGGGCTCTCCTGGCCCAGCCATGAGCTCACCAGGGACACGATGGGGTTTAGTTCCAGGCACTGCCATCCATCCCTGAGGAGTTTCCAGCATTCCAGACCAGCTCACCTGCCCCGTGGGAACAGAAGCCCAGGAGATGCCTGGTTTTGGGGTGTCCCAAGTTTTGGGGTGTCCCAGGGCCAGGAGCAGCAAAACCCCGTTGGTGGGCCCCTCTCCCAGCCCCAGCAAAGAGGCACCAAGACTCTCCCAAGTTAAACTCTCCATTTATTGGAACCTTTTACAAAAAACTCAACATTGTGCTCGTGTCGAAGGAGTGTTCCTTGTCTCTCAGTTCCTGTTGGATTTGAAATCCCGGTGCTCACAGCACCGTGGGCACAAGGGGAGGGCAGGGGCCGTGTGACATGGGCGGGGCCGGGGCCGTGTCACCTCGGTCGTTGCTATTTACAGCGGGAAAGGCCTCGCTCCGTGCCCGGGGGAAGCAGCAGAAACTCTGCAACAGGGAAAAGGTGCAGCTGCCAAGAGCCCTCCCCGGCTCCTCAGGGCTGGGATGGTGGAGGCCACGCGCCCCAGGAGCTGGGATGGATCATCCAACCAAACCTGAGCTTCAGAGTGACCCTGGGATGCCCTGAAAATCCCGGGAGAACAACGGGTGGGAGCAAGGAAGGATGTTTGGGATGGTGGCACGGGAGGGAGCACTCTCTGGAAAAATGTGCTCCTCCCTGGTGGAGGGGCCTCAGGACAGCTCAGGTGCTGGCATGTCCCAGGAGCAGAAAGCTGGGCTGTGAAGGCAAATTCTGTAACCCAGGAGGTTCCATGGTGTTTGGGATGATTTGGGATGAGCTGCAGCAGCTCTGGGAGGGGCAGCACCAGCCCTGTGGTGGGGAAGATGTTCCTGCTGGCATTTCATTTCCCCACAGAATTCCATCCCTCCCAACGCTGCTGCTGCCCAGGTATCTCCCAGGAGCAGCCTCTTTACCCCTTCACCCCAAATCCTTCCCTTTAGGGGCACTGAGCAAGGAGGAATTCATCCCATGACAGAGAGATCCCACTGCACATCCTGTCCCTGCTCCAGCACAGTGGACAGGGGGACCCTCCCAACAAAAAAAAACAGCTTGGGAAAATGCCAAAGAGAGGGAGGAAGAACAGCTGGATTTGTTCTGCTGATCCCTGATCTCAACTGGCCTCGAATTGAAACTCAGCAAGGGAGAGCAGAATTGAAACTCAAATTGAAACTCAGCAAGGGAGAGCAGAATTCCCAGCCTTGGGGCTCTGACACCCTGAGCATCCTGAGCTCCACAAGGAATGCCAACACTTCCCTTCCCATCCATGCTCCCCAGGCTCTCACTGGAGTAACATTTCCCTGTGGATTTTGGAAGGCTGAAGGCTGCTGAGCAGTGCCTGTGTTTGGATGAAGTTCAGTCCATCCCACATCACTCTGTGCTCCAGGAGGGCTGGGAAGGCAGAGCTGACCCCGGGCCTGGGCTGTACATGAGCCACGGCATCACTGCTAACGAACCTCCACTAATGAGGAAGGAATTAAAGCCTTGCAAGAGGAGCTCAGGCCCCTTGGGGGATGCTGGAGCTGACACAGCTCCTCACAAGTGCCACATTTCCACCCTGGCAGGGGCAGAGAATCCTTCCAGGTGTTCCAGGGCTCACAGGAGTTTCCCGTGGCATTTTTAAGGAGACTCTGAGACTTCATGTGCTGCATTTTGGGCATCTGATGTTAAAACAAAAAGGGAATGGAAAGGGGGGAAAGAAAACCATAGGAAAAGATTTCTTGATCCATGTTTTGCTGTGGTCAGTAGTGCTGGTGAAGGCACGAGCTGTGGGCTCTGCTGGGAACAGGCTGCTCCTTCCCTCCCCTTCCCACGGAGGAAGTGTCAGTGCTGATAGGAAAACCTGGGGAGAGGAGTTTGGAGAGGCCCCAAAATGTAGTGCAGGAGGAACATGGGCAGGGCTGGCCTTGGGAATCAGCCCAGGAGCTGCTGCTGGACCATCCCTGCTCCCACACACCAGAGACACACCAGGGGTGACATCCAGGAAAACCAGGGACATTGAGGTGACCACACAAGTGTCACCTTCCCACCTACCCAGCAAGAGCTTCTCCAGGCTGCTCACAAACACCTGGGATGTGCTGAGGGAGAGCATCACATGAGGGCCAAGCTCTGCCCTTCCCTCCTGTGCTCCCCTCATGTCCAGCTGGGCCTGAGGCAGGATGGAGCAGCAGCTGAGCTCGGGTGGTCACAGTGTGACAGCTTTTTGCTCTGGGGGAGAGGAACCAGCTCCAAACCCATGCTGTGAACCTGATCCCAACAGGATCTGTGTGAAGATGGGATTCTGGGAAGCTCCTGTTGGGATTAAACCTCAGACACAGCCCAAAGCCAGGCTGTGAGGATGGGCTGGGGTTAAGGCAGCTGTGCTGAGGCCCATGGCAAGCCTGACATGGGCACAGTGCGCTCTGGGATGGGGACAAGGCAGAGTGGGAACTGCAGCTCTGGCACACCCAGACTGAGCACAGAGAAGGGTCAGAGCCTCCAGGAGCCTGCAGCACCCCCAGCCCTGGCTGTGCTGCAGGTGGATCTTCCCTAAGCCCCAAACACACTCCCAGTCTTTAGAGGATCAGCAGGACGAGGTGGGAAAAGACACTGAGACAGCAGCAGCTGAACCCCCTGGGCTGCAGCACGGGAACAGCACAGGGCCAGAGCTGGAGCCAGGCAGGACCATCCAGGCCAACCTCACCCCTCTCCAGGGGATCAGAGTGGGGAGCAGAGCAAAGGGCTCCTCACCAGGTGACACCTGAGAGGCCTCAGTAGTAGCCACAGGGCAAGAGAAGCCAGGATCTGGTGGGTGGGAAGGGCTGTGCCATGGGAGGAAGGATGGGGACAGAAGATAACAGGAGCTGCCCTGATGCTGCACCCAAACACCTCCAACCTGGCCTTGCTACAGCACCCTGGGATGGGCCGAAGGGTCCAGAGGGGAAAATGGGGTGGGGAGAGGGGAGGGAAAAGAAAACAAAAAAAGCGCCTCACGTGGCAAATCTAAAACACTTTCATTTTAAATAACAATAATTATAATTAAAAAGAACGGCTGCCCTTGGCTAGCGAAGGGGCAGAGCCAGTGGCCAGCGAGCCATTCCTCAGTGTATGATCCGTGGGTGTGTCCTCACAGCAGCCACAGGGTCCCGTTCCCTGTCCGGGTGAGTCACTTTGGGAAGAGGGAAGAGCCCATCCCAATCCAGGCTGGCCCATTTGCCACAGCCTTCTGCACTCACAGCCCACCAAAGCAGCCCCGTGCCGGCCTCTCTGCCTCAGCTGGGAGCTGGCAGGGTCCAGCTCTCCCATCCTAGATGAACTTGAAGCATTTGGTCTTGTCGTGGGGCAGGCGGGTCTTGAAGAGGACCGAGTCGACGCGGAACTGGGTGTAGAGCAGGGGCATGTACCCGTACACCTTCACGAAGAAGTTGATGCACTTGTGCCGCTCGTGGAAGTGGGAATCGTCGTGGGAAAGCGCCTGGGGGCAGCCGGGGCAGCGGAAGGTCCAGCGGGAGGTCACCTGCCAGGAGGGACAGAGGTGTCAGTGCCACACTGCCCACAGCCCAGGCACTGCCAGGAGGGACAGAGGTGTCAGTGCCACACTGTCCACAGCCCAGGCAATGCCAGGAGGGACAGAGGTGTCAGTGCCACACTGCCCACAGCCCAGCCTGGGCACTGCTGGGAGGGACAGAGGTGTCAGTGCCACACAGCCCAGCCCGGATGCCAGGAGGGACAGAGGTGTCAGTGCCACACTGCCCACAGCCCAGGCAATGCCAGGAGGGACAGAGGTGTCAGTGCCACACTGCCCACAGCCCAGGCAATGCCAGGAGGGACAGAGGTGTCAGTGCCACACTGCCCACAGCCCAGGCACTGCCAGGAGGGACAGAGGTGTCAGTGCCACAGTGCCCACAGCCCAGGCACTGCCAGGAGGGACAGAGGTGTCAGTGCCACAGTGCCCACAGCCCAGCCCGGGCACTGCCAGGGGGCTCGGATACAGAGGGAACCTCAGCAGGGGTTGAGTTGGAAGGGAGCTCAAAGCTCATCCTGTCCCACCTCTGCCATGGCCAGGGACACCTTCCAATGTCCCAGGGTGCTCCAGGCTGGCCTTGGACACTGCCAGGGATCCAGGGGCAGCCACAGCTTCTCTGTGGATCCCCTGTGCCAAAGCCTCCCCACCCTCCCAGGGAACAATCCCTTCTCAATATCCCATCCATCCCTGCCCTCTGGCAGTGGGAAGCCATTCCCTGTGTCCTATCTCTCCATCCCCTGTCTAAAGTCCCTCTCCAGCTCTCCTGGAGAGAGCCCTGGAAGGGGCTCTGAGCTCTCCCTGGATCTTTCTCTTCTCCAGGTGAGCACCCCCAGCTCTCCCGGCCTGGCTCCAGACCAGAGATCATCTCTGCCATGGGCAGGGAATCTTCTACCAGACAGGGAATTCAGTCTCATCAATCCTGTAATGTCAAACCTCACTTCACCTGCTCTGTGGCTGATTCCAAAGGCTGAGCTTTCCCACTGCAGCTGGATTTCCCTGGAGCAGACACCACCCACTTCCCAGGCAGAGCTTCTCCAGCAGTGCCAGCCCTGGGACAAGGCCCTGGCTGCCGGTGCTTTACCTTGATGGGAGGTTTCCTGGTCAGGTGGGACACCAGGAAGTTCATGGCGATGTCCTCGCAGTTGATGTACTCGTCCACCATGTCCCTGATGGCCTGGGGCATCACGTAGGAGTACAGGTAGGCATAGTACTGCAACAGGGAAAGGCACAGTGTCCTCCAGGTGCCCCACAGGTGACAGCAACACGTGGGACATGTGGGGTGTGGCTGGCTCAAAACTCAAGGATCCCAGTGGAGATGTTCCCCATAATGGAGTTGATCCCGCACTGAGATCCACAGCAGAAGCAAATCTCCCACAGCCACCACCCTCTCCTGGAAGCTCAGGAATTGAGGAATGGGGGTTCCAGCCCCTCAAATCCTGTTCTGTGCTGCTGTGGATTCAGCAGGAACAGCCACTGCAGATCCTTCTCAGCACTCAGGACCAGGTTCTGGCTGTGTTTCAGTTTGGAGCAAATGAGGGGGAAGGAGCAGAAAGCTCCCACATTTGTCCTTATAAAAACCACAACCCCCCAGATCTGCAGCCTCAGGTGGCTGTGAGCAGGAAGGGGCAGCCCTGGCTGGGGAGGTCTCACCTTGTGGAAGAAGGCAGCACCAGTGAGCACCATGGAGAGCTCGCAGGAGTAGTTGGAGTTGTAGAGCCAGGACTGGTGGGGGATGTCCCAGGCGTGGTAGCGGCCCGGGAAGCCCACGATGCGATCCCTGGCCTCTCTCCACACCCTGCAAACACAGAACTGCCCATGAGACCCTGACCTGGGAGCCCACCCAGAGCTCCTGAGGGATGGAGGGGTCTGTACATAAAGGAGTTTGGCAACTGCTTATCCAAGGAATGCCCAAAGGGCAAAAGGGAAAATGTGTTCAATGTGTTCCTGTCCTAGAGCACAGCCCAGCTGCTCATGCACAGGGAAAGGGCTCCTAATCCATAAATCAGGGATTTTGTACCTCATAAGGGCTGTTCTGGAGGTTTAAAAGAAAACTAAAGCCAGAGCAGCCCAGGCTCAGCCTGGGAGGAGCCCAACATCTCCTGGCCTCTTCCCCAAATTGCTGGGACTTTCCATCTCCCAGCAGCTCAGTAAAGCCAAGATAACATCAACCTCCCTTAAGGAAAGCTTCAAGGCCAGATTGGATGGGGCTTGGAGCACCCTGGGATAGTAGAAGGTGTCCCTGGCCATGGCAGGGGTGGGACTGGATGAGCTTTGAGGTCCCTTCCCACCCAAACCATTCCAGGACTCTGGAAATTCCATAATTCCATAATTCTGTGAAAAGCTGCTGAGATGCTGAAGGCCCCAGTGTCTCCTGAGGGAAGGCCTGGATTGCCAAGGATGCTCCTCATCCCAAACTGCAGCTCCCTGGGCTCTGGCCCCACAGGAAAAGCCTCCAGAGCCCTGAGTGCCTCCCTCACCCTGACACGTGCTCACAGTCCAGCCTTGGGAATGAAATCCTGAATTTTGCATGTGGAGCGTGGGATTGCTTAATGTTCTGCTCTCATCTGCAGCTCACGCTCCTCCAGAGAAATCCCCCAGGAGAGCTGCAACACTGGCTGCAATAATTAAGGAAAAAGTCACTGCCTGATGCCTGAGCTGGGAAACAAACCCAGCTTCCACAGGCAGGGGTGCTTGGCTTCCTTTGGATGGTTCATTCCCCTCCCTGCTGCTCAGCGCCCAAGCTGTGACTCCAGACTGCAGGAGAGAACTCCCTGTGCACACAGAAGGGTTTTCCCTTCTTGCCAGGCACAAAACTGGGCAGTAAGTGCCAGTTTGGGGTTTTTTCCCTCATTTGGATGTGAATTTCTCCCACAAGCCCTGTTCTGGGAGAGCTACAGGAGGAGAGCAGAAGATTCCCTGAGCTTTCCTTACTCTGACGGAGCACAAACGTGTTTGTTGTTCCATCCTCCAATTACTGAAATTCCAAGATTATCCTGAGGAATCAACACCACCAGCAGCTTCCCTGCCTCTGTCTTCCCCCCAGTACTTGTTTGCTGCAGTTCTGTCAATCCAGGGTGATTGTTTAGAAAAGCTGGAAGTTGAAACCATTTCACTTCTCCCACATCTTCACTTTTTCCCTCCCAGCTCAGCCACAAAAATCAGGATTTCTCTGGAGAATCATTCTGGGGGTGCTCAGAGAGCTGCCTCCAGCTCCCTCCTGAGTGGCAAACACGATGCTTTTGGCCCCAAAAATCAAAGCCTGGAGCAAAGTTTTGACAAAGCACAGTTGCTGTGGGCAGCTCCTGGGAATGTGTTAACACAGGGAGGCTTTGTGGGAACTGGGTGTCTGTAAGCAAGGATATGAGTGAGATTAACACAGGGCACTCAATGACCTTCATTTGATGCTCTCCAGGGCTAATCAGCAAAACAGAGACCAAAAAAAGGGAGAAAACAGCCAAGTTTGGATAAAGAGCCTGGAATGGGGCAGGGAAGAGAAGCCAGGAATTCTGACGCCTCCTCCTGCACTTTAATCCCTCTCACACCTCATTTCTCATCTCTCTGAGGGAGCCTGGTGCGTTTCCAGGCATTTTGTACCTTTAAATTTCCCTCCCAAGCAGGTTTTGGTCCCCATCTCCCACCCCCAGGCAGCTGCTGGGTGCTCTCTGACTGGGAATGGCAGCCCCTGCTCCTTGTGGCTCCTTGTGGCTCCTTGTGGCTCCTTGTGGCTCCTTGTGGCTCCTTGTGGCTCCCTCACTCCCCAGCAGCTCCTGGCAGGGAGGGAGCTCTGGCTGCAGGAGCTGCAGGAGCTGCAGGAGCAGCTGGCACAAAGCTCCCCAGCAGGAGCCCCCTCATCCCTGTGAGCAGGAAGCTTTTGCCAGGGAAAAGTCAGGGGAAAGCTGGATGTGGAGCAGAACAGGGTGGGAGTGAGAGCAGCACAACCTGCCTTTGGTGGGGGACATCATCTCCCTTTGCTGGGGACATCATCTCCTGGGGGACATCATCTCCCTTTCCTGGGGGACATCATCTCCCTTTGCTTGGGGACATCATCTCCCTTTGCTGAGGGACATCATCTCCCTTTGCTGGGGGACATCATCTCCCTTTGCTGAGGGACATCATCTCCCTTTGCTTGGGGACATCATCTCCCTTTGCTGAGGGACATCTCCCTTTGCTTGGGGACATCATCTCCCTTTGCTGAGGGACATCATCTCCCTTTGCTGAGGGACATCATCTCCCTTTGCTGGGGCACATCATCTCCCTTTCCTGGGGGACATCATCTCCCTTTGCTTGGGGACATCATCTCCCTTTGCTGAGGGACATCATCTCCCTTTGCTGGGGGACATCATCTCCCTTTGCTTGGGGACATCATCTCCCTTTGCTGGGGGACATCATCTCCCTTTGCCTGCTGTGCCCAAAGAACTGTCACACCCCAGTGTCACAGGGAGCAGAGTGTGGCAGCCACCACCACCACCTGAGCATCATCCTGGCCTTGTCTCTGGCTCATGGATGGAGTGAAAGCCTCTTGGATTTGTTTTCCAGGCTCTGTCCACCCTAGGAAACCACAGGCCTTAAAACCATTCCAGGACCATTATCAGCACAGGAAAAGCTGAAGAGCTGGGTTAAGAAATGTGGCAAATGGGGTTTCCTCACGGGGATCAGGTTCCCCACCTCATTAATGTGTGTTTCTCCAAGAAGCAGAGCTGCAAAGCCACAGGAAGGGACGTGCCAGCCCTGACTGTGTCCCTGGCTGCTCCCTGGGCAGATCCTGGCCATGGGGAGGAGCAGTTTGTGGGGAGGGATGTGCCAGCCCTGTCTGTGTCCCTGGCTGCTCCCTGAGCAGATCCTGGCCGTGGGGAGGAGCAGTTTGTGGGGAGGGCTCACCTGAAGCCGAACATGATCTCGTCGTGGCGCAGGTGGGCGTCGTCGTCGATGGACAGGATGGCCTCGGTCTCGATCTCATCCCAGGGCAGGAAGCGGTTGTTGAGGCTGTTCTTCTCCGTGCGCACCACCTGCGGTGACATCGGGGACATCAGGGACATTTATGGGGCTGCAGGGCACCAGGTGGAGGTCTGGGGCTGTGGCTGTGGTGGCCCTGAACACCTTCAGGTGGCAGTGACACTTATGGGGCTGCAGAGCCCAGGGTGGGGCGCTGGAGCTGGGGCTGTGCCAGTTGTGGTGGCCCTGATGACTGCAGGTGGCAGTGACATTTATGGGGTGCAGAGCCCAGGGTGAGGGGCTGGGGCTGTGCCAGCTGTGGTGGCCTGTGGGAACCCAGGACATTCCTCTGGCTGCCCTGGAGGACTCGAGACCCTGGCAGGGGGCTCAGAGACCTTGGCACGGAGTCACAAACACCTGTGCCTTGGATTTTAGCCCTTGGAAACAATTACCAACTTCGTATGAAGATGTACAAGCCACACCAGTTTGAATAGAATGTTAGTGAATTTATCACAGGGTGAAAATGTAGAATTTTGAGTTTTTAGAATGGGGGTTCAGAGGCCAAGATGGAGGGATTTGGGCATGCTCTGTCCTTCTTCTTTGTCCTTCTTAGCCTCCATCTTCTGGGTGATGTTGGCACTTTTGGATTGGTTTAGAGTGGAGACAAACTGTCTAGCATAAGTGATAGGTATTGGAAAATTATTGTAAATAATGTACACGTGGTTTTTAGTATGAAAAGATAACAGCATCCTGAGGTGGTCAGTGTGCCACTGTCTGACCTGCTGAACGGACCTGAGCAGGCCAGAGAAAGAATTTTATAGACAACAGCAAATAAACAACCTTGAAAACCAGAACAGAAGAATCCTGACTCCATCTTCAGCTGCCAGGCTGGGAAAAGAGACTCTGACACATCTCGGGCTCATCCTGACCACAGAGACTCCGAGAGTGGCCCTGACAGCTGCGGGTGGCAGTGGCATCAGGGACATTTATGGGGCTGCAGGGCACAAGGTGAGGGTTTGGGGCTGGGCTGTGCCAGCTGTGGTGGCCCTGACACCTGCAGGTGGCAGTGACATTTATGGGGCTGCAGGACACAAGGTGAGTCTCGGGTTTTGTGTTACTGAAATGGCTCCCGAGGTATTAAAGAGTCTTTTTTCCCAGCCCTGCAACCGAAGAAGTCGAGATTCCTCAGCTCTGGTTTTCAAGGTTGTTTATTTTCTCTTATCTATTACATTTTCTCTTATCTAATACATCTATTACATTCTTTCTCTGACCTGCTGAGATCTGTCCAGCAGGTTGGGCTGTGGCACAGTGCCCACCCTCAGGGTGGTGTTATCTTTTTCAACTAAAAACTAGGTGTACTTTATTTACAATAATTTTCCAATACCTATCACCTGTGTTAGACAGTGAGCTTCTACTCTAAACCAATCCAAAAGTGCCACCATCACAGCAGAAAATGGAGGACAAGAAGAAGGAGAAGAAGGACAGGACATGCCCAGATTCCTCCATCTTGGCCTCTTGAACCCCCATTCTAAAAACCCCAAAATTCTACATTTTCACCCCATGACAAATTCACTATCATTCTACTCAAACTCTTGTGGCTTGTAACTCTTCACACAAGGTTGGCAATTGTTTCCATGGGCTAAAATCAAAGGCTCAGGTGTTTGTGACTCCGTGCCAAGGTCTCTGAGCCAATGGGGTCTAACAGCTTTTTGAGGGGAGCTTCTTGGGTCTCCCTAAACCAGGGAATGTCCCCCAGGGTCTCCACAGTGGCCCTGGGATGGGGAGTGCTCCGAAGCCACCAAGTGTTGGCTCAGCCCAGCAGCAGCTCCAGCAATTCCCCCACCTCAGCCACACACCTGGAAAATCCTCCTGAATTTCTCCCTCTTGCAAGAATCATGGGATAGAATCATGGGGCTGGAAGGAGCACACCAGGATCACCCAGTCCAGTCCCTGCACAGACACCCCAACCATCCCACCCTGTGCATCCCTGAGGGCATTGTCCAAATGCTCCTGGCAGCCTTGGGAATGTCACCAAGCCCTGGGGAGCTGTTCCAGTGCCTGACACCCTCTAGGGAAGCACCTTTTCCTGATACCCAGCCTAACCCTCCCCTGGCACAGTTTCACATCATCCCTGACAGCCCCATCCACCCTGCATCCTTTCCCCTGCTCTTACACTTTCAGCTGATCCAAAGCCACTCTGTCCATCCCACATTTCCCACCCCATTCAATCCCTCCAGTCCTTTCCCTGCCTCTGCTCTGAACAATCTTAATTTAAAAAATTAAGCCCAGCCTGGTGAAAAGACCAAAGCATCACAGCAAGAGAACTCCATTAAATAAGATTACATCTGATCCCACAAAAAAGCCCACGCTGAAACCATTAACAGTGGAAATATTTGTATCGGGATCTGCGTGACAGCTGGGATGGTTAAATTCCCATGGAAAGCCAGTCTTGGAGCTTTCATCTGCTGACAGCTCCAGGGGGGATGGAAAACTCAGCAGAAACATGTTGAATATTGCACTGAAGAGCCATCAAAAGCACCAACAATTTACTGCAAGTGAGCAAACTGGGCAGCTCTGGGCTATGGAAAAGCAGGGCCAGAGCTGAGCCAGCAGCATTCCCACCCCAGGAGCTCTGTGGTTTCATCAGGACATGGAAAAAGCAGGGACAATGTTGGCACAGGAACTCCTGATCCTGCTCCTTCCCAAGGTGGAGAAGCATCACAAAACTCAGCTCAGTGTCTGGCTTGGCTGAAGGGTTATCCAGAGCCAGCAGATGCTCCCAGGGGTTCCTTCTCTGCCTGGGAACTGCTGGAAAAGGGGATGCAGGAATCAGGGTGGGGATGGGGTGGAGGGAAGCAGGAGGAGACAACTCCACACTCTGTGTCCAGCTCTGGGAAGGAGCTGGATCTGCTGGAGTCCAGCCTGGAGAAGGGAAGGCTCCAGGAGAGCTGGAGAGTGTCACCATCCTATTTTCTGGAAAAATCTCTTTGCCAAGGATCCTTTTCCTGGGAAGCTGAGAGGCCTCAGAGAAAAAGGAAAACAATAATGATCTGATTTGCTTCTCCTGTGTTTTGCTGCTTTGGAATGTGTTTGGAGATTGTTTATCCAACAGGTGATTGTTTCATTGGTTTCATGTGAATTGTTCTGACTTTTGGCCAATCATGGCCAAGCTGTGTCGAGGCTCTGGAAAGAGTCACGAGTTTTCTTTATTGTGTTTTTATTATCTTTTAGCCTTCTGTCTGCATCCTTGCTGTATTCTTTGTATAGTTTAGTATAGTATTCTTTAATACAACATAGTATTCTTTAATATAAAATAGTATCATAAAATAATAAATTAGCCTTCTAAGAACATGGAGTCAGATTCATCATTCCATCCTTTATCTGGGAACCCTGCAAATACAAGAGGAGAGGGACTGGGGACAAGGGATGGAGGGACAGGACACAGGGAATGGCTTCCACTGCCAGAGGGCAGGGATGGATGGGATATTGGGAAGGAATTGTTCCCTGGGAGGGTGGTGAGGCCCTGGAATAGAATTCCCAGAGAAGCTGTGGCTGCTCCTGGATCCCTGGAAGTGTCCAAGGCCAGGCTGGACAGGGCTTGGATCAACCTGGGATGGTGGGAGGTGTCCCTGGCCACGGCAGGGGTGGGACTGGATGAGCTTTAAGGTTCCTTCCCACCCAAACCATTCTGGAACCCTCAAAGTCACCCACATGAACCCCCTGTGAGCTCCAGGGCAGAGGGGCTGGCTCTGGGTGAGCTCTGCCAGGAGCTCCCAGCCAGAGTGGCAGAATCCACCTCTCCTCTCAAACGCCAGCCCTGCTCCTTGGGAATTGTCTCCCTTCAGCTCCCACCCCTGCCCTGGTGGGTCTCACCCCCAGAAGAGCCCAGAGATGCCATCACCAACCCTCTCTCTGTCCTTTTTCAGACTCTGAGGTCTCAATCTCTCTCCCAGCACTGCTTCTCCTGCCCTTCCAGCATTTTAATGACCAATTTTGCCACAACTTTGCTCCTTCATGGTCTGGAGCCAAGAGCTTTGTCGAACCCCAAGGAAAGATGTTCCCTGAGCCCTGGCTGCAGCACAGGGAGTCAGCAGTTCTCCTTCCCAAGGGGATTCAAGCAGTGAGGAGGACACAAAATCAGCCAGAGAATCCCAAGAGAGACCCCAGCCCATCACCAGCCCCCGCCTCCCCTCACAGCAAGAGCTCCAAACTCAGAGCAGAGCACCAGTGCTGGGTCTGCACCAAATTCCAACTCCTCCAGACCCCAGACTCTGCCTTATTTTGGTTATTTTGGACTTTTGTTTGGGACTAATTCTCTTTAAAATGCTTTGCCATCAGCTAAAATGCCCAGAGCTCAAACCCATGAATCTCCTGAGCACTTTGCAAAGTTTGGAGACACCTAAAATGCCTCTAAGCACCCAAGAGACCACATCAGAAGCTTCTACTCCTTTTAGAAGGAGAAGAAAATCAGTTCGAAAATCAGTTCCAGGTGATTCAGTTCCACAACCTGGGATTTGTTTGATTAGAGGAGCACAAAACCCCACAAATCCATCACATCCATTTCCTGCCATTATTTTGTTGTTCACAGACACGCTGGACAAATGAATCTTAAAAAAAAACTGAGAGAAAACTAAACCAGAGCATAAATCCAGAGTCTGCCCAGCAATAATGTCCTTTTACCAATACTTTAAAATACATTTTTATCCATAAACACCAAAAAAAGCAGCAAAATCAATACCTTCCAGCAATCTCCTTGCTGGTGAGGCTTCATGCTTAAGCTTTAAATTAAGTGTCACATATCATTTGATGGTGAAAACATGAGGAATGCCTGTGCCCTTGGAGAAGTTCTGACAGCTCAGCTCAGTGAACTGGATTGATTCCTGGGCAAAGAGCAAACTCTGCAAGAACCTGGGTGCCTCATTGCTCATGTCAGGTCTCTGTCAGGGGAAAAAAGCCTGGAGGGTGCCCTTAGGAGAGCTGTGAATGAGCCCTCAGGAGAAGGAACCAAATTTCCATCTTTGCCAAAGGGGAGAGATTCTACCCCAATGGGCTGGGGGGAAAAGCAGGGTGGGGT